TCCTTGACCTTGAACTTCTGGTTGTTTCCAATATAGATTTTTTCACTCTCACAATCCCCATGCAAAGAATTGGCGGTCCTTCACATCAAGCTGTCTCCAATCAGATTCCAAAACTGGCTACTAGACTAGCACAACTGAACAGAACTGTCATTTTCAGAACTGGTGAAAAAATCTCATCAAACGTCAATGACCTTTCTTTGAGTAAAGCCTTTGACGACCATCGAGCTTTGTATCGCACTAGGTTGCCCATCATTTTCTTCAGCTTTGTTACAACCCATTTTGTTTCTTCGCGTGTTTTCTTCCCTTGTTTAGAAGTTTCACGACAGCTCTATTATTTTTTTTTTTTCAAAGAATTCATCTCCTCTTGCATGGCCTTTGTCAGCAATCTTTATCTTTACAAGATTGCACATCTGAAGCTCTCTAGCTCCCTCTCATCAGTGATCAAAAATGTAATTAGATTAAGGGTACCCTGTAGATGGTTGGGCGTTCTCTGGTTGACCTTCTTAAAACTGAGTCAACTCCTTCTGGTGAACGCGGTTCTCTGGCTCCGCCTGCTCAATACCTCCTCTACAATCGTCTTTGATCCCGACATGACTACTCTTCTTCTTCTTTCCGTTTCTTTATTCTGGCATTCCTCCTCTCGTGACATCATCTGTAGGAATGCTGTCATGGTGTAATATCAACAAACACCATCACTTGTGGATTTTTCACAAGTCTGTATCTGCACGATTTCATTCTCGTGGAATACTTACCTCACATTCGGCTCCGCGACACTTTTCTTTTTCACTGGGTTCCCATCATCTAACTAAGCCAAAACTCTTCATCTGCCAAAACCGATAATAAGTGCAAAAGGAACTGACTTGTCATCAAGCTTTGAATTCTGCTCTGTCAAAACATGCAGTAAAATGCCTTACAGCCAAATACCTCAAGGTGAGAGTAATGAGAATGATTTCTACCTGGTCCAGACCTTCTCTGGGATATCAAAATCCAAAGATGCTGAAGGTAGTGCGTTTGAATTAGGGTAGAGACAGCAGTATTGACAGCTTCCTCCCAAAATGGCTTTGGTAAGTTTGGTCATGTCTTTCAACAATGGGTCCGATTCATCATTCGAGACACACCGGTTTTGTGTTGAGGGCGTACTAGGGACCTGTCTTTCATGCTGATACCGACGTGCTGACTACACATATATCTCTAATACCCTTAGAGATATAGATCAACCACGCATTATCCCGTGTGTAAACACCTTCATGCCACGTTCAGTCTTTCCACCATCGCATGGAATTACTGAAAGTGCTTGAATACTTGGTCCTTTGTGTGCAACAAATATATCCATGTTTTTCATGAGAAATCATCAATGAAGGTCAAAAAATATCTACTTCCTCCAAGTGATTCTACCTCCATGGGACCACATATGGCAGAGTGTACCAACTCTAACTTGTTGTCTCTCCGTCTAGAGCTTTTCTGAAGTGAGACACGATGTTGTTTCCCAAATAAACAATGATCACAAGGGTTTATTTTACCTTTGGCTAATGGGATGAGGGACTTCTTAGCCAACATATTCAACCCTTTCTGAAATGAGACACGATGTTGCTTCCCAAATAAACAATGATCACAACCTGCGCCAGCCACTTATGCCATAAATTTAGTGAAGCATCATCTCCAACTGTATTCAGTTGACCCGCACATATTGTTGCATGCGTCTTATACAGCGAGCAACATAGTTTTCCTCTCGCCACCGCCAAAGACCCTTTAGTAATTTTCTAGTTACCGTCACTTGTATGACGGTGATAACCTTCATTGTCCAGTACACTGACAGACAACAGGTTTAACCGAAGATCGGGAATATGTCTCACATTTTTAAGTGTTAATGTGCACCTGACACTTGTCTTCACGCAGATATCACCGATTCCCACCATTTACGAGACACTATCATTTCCCATTCTAATAGTGCCAAAATCTCCTACTTTATAGGTGAGACTATTCCCTTTTCGGAACACAGTGGTATGAAGCATCAGAATCTACTATCCACTCGGTATCTGCATCTCCAACATGACAGCAATCTGCATCATGAGAGACTAAAGTCACATCACCATCTTCTGCTGAGACTGTAGCAAATGTATTTTTGTCATTCTCCTGTCTTTGGTTTGCATTCTCCTGTTTGAGTAAATGACAATTCCTTTTGAGATGACCCTCCTTACCACAATGGTAACATTTTCTCATCTCTCTGGACTTAGATCTACCATTTGACTTTTCATGCCTTGGACCTCTACTCTTGCTTCGACCCCTATTCTCTGTGACAAGAGCTTGTGAAATGGTACTGGCAACGTCTCTTCTTCGTAGTTCTTCATTGAGTAGTCTATTCTTTACAATAGACATTGTTACCTCACCATTTGGAGCTGAGTTACTCAATGATACCACAAGAGTATCCCAATTATCCAGTAGAGATCCCAATAGTAGGCATGCTTGCATCTCGTCATCCAGGACATACCGCTAACTGCTAACTCAGTTATGAGTCCTCCAAAATCATTCAGGTATTCTGTAACTGATTGTCCCTCTGACAGCTTCAAGTTCATGACTTTATGAATCATGAACACTTTTCCTTGAGCATTTGTAGCCTCGTACATATTCTCTAATTTCTTCTAGAGAATTTGGGGATCTTTTTCATTTCTCACATGGTAGTACAAACTAGAATCTATCCATTGGCGTATTGTACCCAATGTCTGGTTTTTTAACTTGTCCCACTGCTTTTCTTTCATTTCTTCTGGCTTTGCACTGTCACCTTCAATTGGATCGTACAGATCTTTGCAATTGAGGTAATCCTCCATTCTGGATTTCCATATTGAATAATTCGAATCCGTCAATTTGATCATTGCCCCGTCGTTAGCCATGTCAAACTCTAAATCTGACAAAATTTTACTATTCACGAAATTTACTATTCACGTGAATAGTAACTTTGCAGAAAACCGACAGAATTTCAGCCTGACTCTGATACCAGTTATTGGGATTAATGCTGCTCTAATCCCGAATTGGGCCAACGGAAAAATGCCGGTGGTAGAAGTAAAAATAAAATTACCGACTGTAAAAGTTAATAGCACTGATAAATTTAATTACTATTACCACATTTACCTCCACATTGTGTATTGGATATTGACGACCGAATCCACAAAAAATAATAATCACGGTAAAAAATTAAATAATTATCATAAATGCCAGAAAAATAGAAATACCGAGATTTACGTGGTTCACCCTTCAACTGTTATGGGCTACGTCCATGGGACAAAAGAAATAACGCTGGATGGCGAGATTTACGGTGGTTGCAGCCCTTCAACCTGTTTATGGGCTAAACGTCGCATGGACAAACTCTGAATAATTCTTCACTAATAAAATAGGTAAGGTACAAAAAGAGGATGTACAAAAAATAGTGACACTCGTAAGTGTTGTCCCAAAAAGCACTGCCAAAAAAATTATAATCCTGCACTATTTTTCTCTCTTTGCCCAATTTTAAAAGGAACGCGATTTTCTGAAAAATGTCTTCTAGGGACAAACTCTGAATAATTCTTCCACTATAAAATAGTAGGTACAAAAGAGATTACAAAAATAGTGACACTCTAAGTGTTTCCCAAAAACACTCCAAAAAATTATAATCCTCACTATTTTCTCTCTTTCCCAATTTTAGGAACCATTTTCTAAAATTCTCTACAATTAACTGTGTAGACTTCTTCGTTTTATGTTTGTACATCGGAAGAGGTAATCTTCTCCTATATTTATAGGAGAAGGGGACACGTAATTAACGCGTCCACCGACTGACGCGTTAATTAAGGCGTCCATTTCTCCTCTTTTTATTTCTTTATTTAAAACGTGTATATAACTGTATACACGTTTCAGTCTTCCTTTTTTTTCTTTTTTCAAAAGTATGTGGATCCCACATGTCGGAGGGACCCCACAACAACTATTCGAGCGACTGACTTTGGAACTCGTCTTCTGAAGTTGAAACCCTTAATACCTCAGTGTAGAGGGGTGTTCATCAAACAGCTTAAACCGCCTAAACCATCTAATTGATCCAAATCGATCTAAAACTATAGTTTTAACATATCGATAGTTTGACTTGATTTTCTAAACTTTAAAAACGAGCTTTTGGTTTGGTTACGATTTTAGAGTCAAACCGTCCTAACCGAACCAAACTGTTATATATATATATATATATATTCAATGCAATTTCTTTGAATGGAAATTTCCTTTGTATTTATATTGGATAGTAAATTATGCGATTAGTAATATTAGATAATAATTGAACAATAATTTCTTATTAATTAGATAAATTATAGATTATTTTATAAAATGTTCAAATGTTAAACATTCATGTAAAATTAAACTAATATATTTGTACAAACTATATGCGTGTAAAACTATACTTTTTATAATTTTTAGTAATAGATGTAATCAAAATTTAAATTCTATATTTATAATTTGCTTAATTATTCTTTTACTGAATATAAAACATTTTTTATACTATACTAAGAATGTACATATAAAAAATTAATTTAAAAACTTTTAATAGCTATTCAAAATCATGTGTATTTTACGGTATTAATTCATTTTTCATATTTAGAATAATGTTAATTTTTTTTTCTTGTTACCTAGATAAATGAAGAAGTTTAATTTCTCTAATTTTAAACCGCACAAACCGGCACTAAAGATTTGATTTGAAGTTTTTTATGGTTTGGTTTGTTAATTTATTTTATATCGCTTGGTTCGATTATTGTATTCAAACCGACCCAAACCTACCTAGCTAGTAACAGCCCTAAGTTTACTCATACATTTTACTTATCACACCTTTAGTCAAGTTATAACCCCTTCAAAATCTAAAATATATAAGCCTACATGCATCCTTATACGGTTCGAGGCTATTTGGCATAGGGCGAGGTCTTGGAAATTGAGATAGTTTTTCAAATAATTGTTAAACAAAAGCGGAACTCCTACTCTTAAATGTTCGTCAAACAGTATTAAAATGTTAGGTCCGAGATTCTTATTTATTCTGTATAGTGGAGGTATGAACCAAACTATATACAGTCATGAGTCAGGATGATGTACTTGTACTAAATATATAATAAGTCTTCTTCATTTATAATGGAGGCAAGACTAGAGACTCAGACATTCTATTGGCAAGCTTTTTTCCTAGGGTGAACCTTTGGAAGTTCATCTACATTATCCTCGCCCTCACGGTTAAGCAATTTTGATAGCGACATATAACTTGGAAAACTTTTTGAAGACATCATGAACGAACTAGGCTTCCATGCTGTTACTGTTGTTTTTTTGACAAGGAATTGGAATAGGAGCCTTTATCATAATACTTGGAATGAACCCAATCAACTGCAAAACATTATGACATAAAGGGAAAATCAGACAGATTCATTTTTACTTTTCAAATGTTCCAAACTAGAATTCAAATTTTTCGTTTTTAAAATTATTTTAGATGCAAAAACAGGACCAACATATATTGGGTTACTCCAATTCAAATCAAACTAGACCAATGCTATTTTTCAGGAGATTTGATCTTAGTCTTTTATTATTATTATTATAATTAATAATAATAAAAGACAAATTGAATAGAAAAAATTTTGTATCTTTCTATCAAAAAAATGAAATTGAACCGATTAGATAAGATGTTAAACCAAAGTGAACTGAACTAATTTGATTTGATCTATTCCGAATTTTTGCTTAGCCCTACACATAAATTCTATCCACATCATATTAAGATTATAATAAGATAAAGCATTACCCTATTTTGACAGACCATGATTTGAAAAGTTTATTTGGGAAAATTTCGTACCAGTGCAAATCCAATGCATGAAATACTGAAGCCAGGGAATTTAAAAGGTGCTTCTTCAGACAAGAATAAAGCTGCGTTGATTAATAAAATAAGTTGTTAATGCTACCCAAATATTCCTATAAAGTATATAAATAAACATTAATTAATTTTTATATATCAATTTTTTGCATGTATATACCTGTCAAAGGACTAAAAATTAAGGGAGAAATGATGCTGGCAAAGGAACAAATGCTTGAAATGCATCCCTGAGCCTTCCCCTGCAAAAAGTTTTTTATTTGTTGAAATTATTGATAGAAGGGAAAAGAAGTGTTGCTAGCGTAATTATTCAAGATGGCAAATCTTGATTCAACTTACAAATTTGACTCTGTTCGCAACGACTTTTAAGCTAGTATCTCTATTAATTAATTGTACGTTCGTCAGTTTTTTTATCAAATTTAAAACGGGGTTTCATAGAAATTAAGGTTCTTTAATATATCAAATGAAATTATTAATTATTAATTGAATTTGATTTGATTAATTACTTCTAATGCATAACACATCTTAGTAATGTTCTTTAATATATAAAACGCTGATTAACAACAAGCAAAAGACTACTAAAGTTAATTTTAATTAATTAATTAACCTCTATTTGGTATGGGTTACCTGCTCATCAGGGCCAACTTGTTTTGATGTGATGCTGCGTAACTGCACGAATCATAAACATCAAATAGCAGATGGATCGGAAGAGCAATTTACCAAAAGCTATAAAACTTGTAACTTACTGATGGCTGCACCAAAACTGTAAAAACAGTTAATGCAGTTGAAGCATAGGGAACCTGTCACCATAAAACTACACACTTAGACTATTCTATTCCAGTTCATTTGGTGCAAATAAATTACAAAAACTTTTAATTAATTTATTTCTAAATTTATAATTTGCTATACCCAATTTGACCATGCTATACTGTAGAGCAACATCTGCAAGATATGAGGTAGATCATAAGAATTTCATTCTCATTTTATAAATATAAACTCAGCAATATTTATAAATTATACTGTAGCTTAGTACATTGATGAAGCCCATAAAAAGCCCTATTGAAAGTATCTTTTCTTCTGATATAATTGGTGCCAACAAAGGCATGAAAATCAGCTGCAAATCCACAAAGAAACAAACAATAGTGTCTGAAATTACTGGAAAAAAAAAGAAGAAAATAATGCTCTTCAAAAGTAGTAATAATAATAATAATCATCATATATTAATAGAAAAAGAAAAAAAAAAGGAAGCTACTGATGGTATTGTACCTGTGATACCATTCCAGCAGCTCCAATAAGAAGCAATAGATCAGCATACTGGTTTTTGCTGAAGTGAAAACGGGCCTTCAAATAGTACTGTACACCAATCACACCGAAAGAACGAGATTAGTCTAACACACAGAGAGGGGCGAAGATACTCATGGAAACACCAAAAAATAAAAAAAAAATAAAAAGTCTTGGTAGTACTTCACCCTCGGTTTGATATAAAAAGCGAGTCAAAAATTAAAATATATAGGAAAACACAAACACGTTTGTATACCATTAAAGAAGCTAGGAATCCTGCCTCCGCAAGACTGTCAAAGAATGAAACAACTGATACCTGTGAAAATGTTTCACTGACAGGACAAGTTTTTGCAACATCAATATCAATGTCAAACTAACCCTAACTACAGAAAGTTACAGAAGAGGACAAACCTCCTCTTCAACAAGCAAATAAGATCTCCAACAGTTAGAATCTTGTTGGATGACGATACTGGAGAAACCCTTGTAGATAAATTATTGGTGTCTGCATCATTTTGATGAATATTCTCTTCTGGTCCACTGCTCTTCAAGATTGGCTCACTTAAATTTCCATTATCTGATACTCTATCCTTCAGGAAAATTCTCATGTACACAGCAGCAACCATTGATACAAATGCTGCAACCTTGAAAACAAAAATGCCTTGTCTTTTAAAAAAAAAAAAATTATTACAGGGAGTCATAATAATGATAAAAATAAAGGTGAGAAATAATTATTAATTACCTTAAATGTCAAAGAAGTAGAGAGCAAACGAGCAGCTAAGATTCCTGCAACAGAAGAAGCTAAAGCTATGCCAGATAGAATTCCAAATGCCGACGCTCTTTGTCTTTCTGAAATGTTGTCTGCCTAAGAAGAAAGAAAAATCCAACACTGAGGCCTCAGTAATTGGTTCAAGTGTGCATATTTCTTCTTAAAATCCTTTTTCTTTATATGTATATATAAATATTTGTGCTGATTAGTTCAAATGTGCACATTTCAAAACATTAATTTCATTCCTTCAAAAAAAAAAAACATAAATTTCATATTTTAAAAAAATAATAAAAAGTGTTTTCCTATAAACTATAAGAGTTGGGTGATTAGAAGGCATAATTACCACATAAGCAAGAGCAAGGCAGTAGATGCTGCTTCCAGAGACCATAGCTGTTAAAATTCTGAGCACATAGTAGGAGTAGAAGAAATTGGTTTCGCTGCTGTATGCCAATATGGCTGCAAAAATATTATGCATCAATACAAATGCAATTCTGGGACGAAATAATAATAATAGTAAATGCACACCAAGACATAGTCTGGTGGTAGGTACATGCATGACTTGTCAATGTATTCAGGTTCGAAACAATAGATCTAGATTTGAAACAAACTGTTAATTTTAATAAAACAAAGAAGCAAAAATGGTTAATTTTCCTAAAGAATTATAATTATTGACGAAAAAGTACAAAACATTGACGAAAGGATAAAATAGTGTAGTGTTTGCAAAATGTAAAGAAAAATTAATGTGTTTTTTTAAAAAATATAGAGATAGATTAGTAACTTCGTAAAATTTAAGGATACAATAGTAATTTTTTAAATAATAATAAAGGAAAAGGAGTAGAGGAACTAAGTACAACAAGCAAAATACCAAAGTAAGTAGATGGCAACATTGTGAAGGCAATTGAAAAGGAAAAGACAATGAAAAAAAAGGGAATCTTTTACATCATTTTTTTTTTCAGGAAAAAGAAAAGGGTGCATGGATTCCTAAAATTTAATAAGTTACTTCCTTAATATATGCATCATTTTTTTTTTTTCAGGAAAAAAGAAAAGGTGCATGGATTCCTAAAATTTATAAGTTTACTTCCTTAATATATAATATATATATATATTATATATATATATATATATATATATATATATAACACCCTAAGTGCAAATACATATATTATAAAAATTGGTTTTTGCACGAGGAGTGGGAGGTCTCGAGTTTGAATTCTCATATTTTCACAAATTTGATGAGTCAAGAAGAAAGTTATCCATGTTGTGTAACCTATGATATTATTTCAGCCTATCGGACCTCTCAGTAAATAAAAAAATGAAAAAGAATAAAAATTTCAAATCTAAAAATTTAATTTTATAAAGTTCAATATAACTAAACTCTACTAGATTATTAATGGGATATAAGGCTTGTGAAGGTATATAGAAAAGTAAACTTTGTTGCGGACTGTTTGGCTAATGAAGCTGTGGATGACTCGTTGGATTTGATTTTTATGGATGAACCTTCTTCTATGGCTTTGATATCTCTTAGAGTTAGATTTAGTTGGAGGAGCCTGGTCGCGAGTTATTTCTTAAAGGGCTTAGTACCCTTCTATGAGTTTTTAAAAAAAAAAAAAAAAAAAAAAAAAAAAAAACAAAAAATAAAAAAAAAAAAAAAAAAAAAAAAAAAAAAAAAAAAAAAAAGCTTATTAAAAATAGATAAAATTAAATAAATCTTCATAAAATTAAATGATCTTCAATATTTTACAAATAAAAAAAAAAAAAAAAAAAAAAAAAGCTCTATTAAAATAGATAAAATTAAATAAATTTCATAAAATTAAATGATCCAAATTTTTACAATAAAATTATTCTTTTCTTCCCTCTTCTTTTATTTTTCTTCCTACATATAGCATCATTATGATTTTTAAATTCAGATCAAACGAGGTTGAACCATGAATAGTGTTTGGATTCGTTTAATAATTATTATAGCCTTTAATAATTGTAATTAATCATGTCCTTCAATAATAAGAAATTTATATTACTTGTTTAAAAAGAAAGGGCATACCTAAAGGAAAAATGGAGACGGTCAAGGGAATTGTGAGCATAGCTTTCCTTCCGTATTGATCAGACAGATTGCCAATTATTGGTGTTATCACAACTGATCCAATTCCTGTCATCTGCATAATATTAAATAAAAAAATTATTTCCACATATTCAGAAAAAAAAAATTAAAATTTAAAACACAAAATACAAAGGAACAAAAATTAAAATTCAAGACCAAAAACCATAAAACTTGATATCCAATAATACTTCCTTTAATCAATTAAATCCAAATTTTTTTTTAAAAAAAAGATAATTTTTGGATAAAGCTTTTAAAAATGAAAGAAAATTAGAAAGTAATAAAAACTCAAATTCACAACTAAAAACCAAAAATATAAAAATTTTTTGCAAATTAAAATTTGATTACATTTTTATTTCTACCTTTTTTATTTTTTTAATAAGATATGGTTTTTTTAAAAAAAAAAAACTTAATAATTCATTGATAATGAATATAAGTTGAATACATCATAATAATATTTCTATAGGAATAAGAAATATAAATATAGAAAATTAAAATCTTTTGTTAGGAGATTCTTGATCTTGGCAGGAGATTAATCTTCTGAGTAAAAAAAACTTGTCCATTTTCAAACAGGACAACAAAAGAAACCTTCCGGAATATTGCCTCAAATATTTTTTTTTCAGAAACTTATTCCAACTGACACTAGCAGAAGAGTTTAATATAACAAACTTTAATGAACAAACAGGTTGCAGTACCAAGCTCCATTAGTAAAAGAAACTTATCTGAACTTCAAAATTTGAAGTCTCCAACCGTAAGCAACAAACAATTCATCTTATATTTTAAATTGCTAGAAGCATAAATCCAAATAAAAACTCCTCATGATGAGAAACAGTTTCATGAAGGGAGAGAAATAAATAACCCCAACAAGAGGTATCAAAAACACTCAATCTGAGAGACTAAATCTAAATTATATTTCAAATGATCATAGATTTAGAAATTATTATAAAGAAAGCTAAATAAAATAAAAAAAAAAATAGTAAGGGATGAAAAAAGACCACTGCCGACCAACGAAGACGATAACGGTAGTTTAGAAATAAAATCTAATTAAAGGACATGAGAAAAGAGAGAGAAGAGAGAGATGACTAGTAATTAGATATGGTTAAAAATATAACATAAATAAATATATAAAACTATGATTATATATCTTGAGTTTTCTATTCTGTGGTTGCTTTTGATTTTTTTTATGATATTAAAATATGTTGAAAAGTTTTACATTTTTTTATATATTAACCTTGCAACTCTTTCTTTCCTTTTGTTATTTTTGATTTTTTATCTTTTAATATTTGAATTTTTAATTTTTAAAACGTGAAAAATGTTTTATTTTATTTGAATAAAAAAATCATTCAATTAACCCAAAAATAAAAATATTATCTTCGACCATAATTTTAAATTGAGTTTAATTGAATGAATGTAGTTATATTGAATATTGTTTGACTTTCAATCAAGGCTATTACTATTAATTTATTAAAATTTATCATTTTTTATTAAAAATAAATATTCTACGTTTGAGAACGGGCTAAAATATTTGGATTTTTTAAAATAATCAAGCCATTTGTATATTCTGATATGCAATTATATCAAAGTATTAAATTTAATTTTTTTTATATATCATAAATTTTTAAAGAAAACGTTAGACCTTTTAACATTTTTTCATGTAATATGTGTAAATTTAAATACAAATAATTGTTATTATTATTATTTATCTCGAAAATAATTATGAAAAAGAAACACCAGTAAGTAGAAGTACAATGGGCAATCCGTTTCATGATTGTGGGATGGGATGAGACCAACTTGTCAATTCTTGTGAAAACGTGTCAAATAAAATGTGTATCTTCCCGCTCAATCTTGCTATTATTGTAGCAGTTACGGTATGCCCATTATAATATATAATTTTTTATTAAATTCTTAAAAATATTTTTAAATATAATATTATGCATAATTTTTTATTACTGTAATATTATTATTGTATTAATTTATCAATTATACGTATGATTGGTTTTTCTATATTTTATAAAAGATGTAGAGCACAGCATTATTTTGAAAAATATATTCTATTATTTTGCTCGGTTGGTCCCGTATTTGTAGTTTTCTTTTTTTTTTTTTTCATATTAAAAGTATATTTAAAACAAATATTATATGCATTCTTAACAAAAAAAAATTTCAATTCTAGAATGTTTCTTCCAATTTTATTTACTGGGCTATCAAAATTTCTGTATGGCAGGTATGAACCGTCGGTGGGAATTGGATGGTAGTGGCAGGAGGTAGAAGAAGATGAAAGGTCCTTTTGATGTGAAAGGTAAGGCAAATTTCGTGAACCACCCGATTCTAATGATACAACTAAACTTACCTTTGTCGATACTATATAGGAAAATTTTAGTAATACATAAAAGTTTTTTTATAAAGTTAATCATCTTTTAGATAGAAAAATAATTATTGATTTGTTGGAAGATACGTCAGGCCGAAATAATAAGATGGACTGTTATTTTTTTTTTTATCACGGGTCAAAACTCTTATAATTGAGAAATCAATCCGACTTGTCAGATAAAAACAATTTCAAATTATGGGAAATAAATAATTATTACCTCTTAATTTAATTATCCTGAGTGTTCTTTGTTTACGAAAAATCTTTCTGGTGGTGGGTAAGATTAGGAGACATTTATAGATAGAATAATCATAAATCTCAGAAACTAGATTATTCTCATGTATAAAATGACATGAAATATTCATGGGAAAAAAATTCTTTTGATGAAAACAATCAAAGTGTTGGTTGTTTCTTTTCTCTTTCCAATTTTTTTTTTAAAAAAATGATTGATTCTTCTAATAATTACAGTGAAATTTAACTAATTCATTACTCATAAAAGATGATAGAGAAGAAGAAGAAGAAGAAGAAGAAGAAGAAGAAACTGAAAATATTAATTGTATTAAATTAAGCAGTAATGGTAGAGGAACTTACGGCTTGCTGGAAACCAGAGAGGTAGATGGCGATTGAGCAGTGATCTTGACCAGGGCAAAGTGCTAAAGAAGAAGAAGAAGAAGAAACTGAAAATATTAATTGTATTAAATTAAGCAGTAATGGTAGAGGAACTTACGGCTTGCTGGAAACCAGAGAGGTAGATGGCGATTGAGCAGTGATCTTGACCAGGGCAAAGTGCTAACATGGTGACATCAGTTATTACCGGAAGCACCATGGAAGCCGATAATTGTGAGAGAAAGACGGTTGCAAACAGATGGCTCAGGCATGTAATTTTCTCCTCCATATGTAATTTTCTTTCTGACAAAAAAGTTTGAGCTCTCTTTAGCTAACAAGTTAATAGATATCATGCATATTTGATATTTTGTTTATGCGTAATGACACTCGTACCCCTTCATTGGAGAGCCAAAGTTTGATGATACCTATTGAATGCTTTACCTTTATCCTTCTCTAGACAGAGCACTGAGATAGAGCTTTTTTTGAGACATTATATATTGGAAAATAACTCCAAATTATAGTGAAATTTAGATGTGAGGGTTTCTAATTTTAAAAACTAATTATGAGGTTTCTAACTTATAATTTCATTACCATTTCGGTCCTTTCGTCCAAAATAGCTGCTTTTAACTTGCAATTGACTAAGAAAAATTAATATCTAAATTATAGTCAAACAAATTTATGTTAATATTTTGGTTTTTTCCTTATGATTTTCATTAACAATTTAATCCTTTCTTTTGGACGGAAGAAGCAAGTGTAAATAAAATCATAATTTACAAACCTCATAGTTAGTTTTTAAAAATATAAATCCTCAAGTGATAATTTGACAATAACTCATGACTAATTTATTATTTTCCCTATTTATTGCAGTCATGATTTACTTCAGTATCCTAAGAATTGGGTCGGTCATTGAATTGGTGAAAATAAGGGCTTATTGAATCAGATGATTTAACCGATTCAATGTAGTTTAACTGGATTTTTATATATAATATTTATAAATATAATTGAAAATTTATGTTACAAAAGAAAATAACTTTGAAGTTTAGAAATAGAAAGGCCCAAAAGTCAAAAAAATTAGTGGGCCCAGATTTTTAAGAGCCTAGATTTTTAAGAGCACAAGTTTTAAAAAAACAAAGCCCATATTTGGAAGAAAATCCAAAGTTTAAATTCCAACCGTAATAATTACTGGTTCACTGATTTTCATCCGATTTTCACTGGTTCACAGTGGTTTTCAAAGCCCCTTGTCTTTATTATCCAATGCGGATCGGACCATAGTTATGGTCAAATTGGTCGGTCCGATTCGATTTTAAGAACAATACTCTATATATACATACATAAACACGCACGCATGCACACACACATATATATAAGCTATCTAGTATATTAGTTACTATATTAGCTATGGGGATAATTATAAATTTCGTGATTGAATTGTTCAAAATTTTCTATTTTAGTATCTGATAGAACAGTTTTGTCTAAACCTATTAAAAATTTTCAATTAAGTGTCCATTGGCTACGTGGACAGCCGAAATTACACTAGTACGGCTGAGACCCACAAAATAATAGTAAATATGTTGAATAGGCTGATTATGAGTGAGCCATGTAGGCTCATATGCATAGCATATGCTCTGGGTGTCTACAATTACTAACTCGCCCTTTTTATCTCCATCTCCAAGCAACAAACTAAAAGAGTCAGAAAGTCTCAAACCCAGCCACTGTAGGATCATGTTTACATTATACCATCATCTTCCTTATACTCCTCTGAAACCATCCAAAAAAAATTTTCACTCTAGAAAACCTCTTATTTGCTAAACAATCTTAACCACTATATCAAAAGATACATTTGAGATATTCTCCCTCCATCTCAGGATTGTTATACATTAAAGACTTTTGCCGAAAAATTTGAAAAATCGATTCCGAAAAATTATTTTATGGCTTTTTTTTTTTTTCCATGATATAACAATCAGAATAGAGGGTCTACCTACGTACATGATTGATAGAATCACTACACGGGGGGTGGTAAACTTGATGCAGGAGAGGCATGAGTGCAGTTCAAAAAAAATGTTAATAGCGATCCCTATGGTTGATGGGATCTCTAAAGTTGATGGCAATATCTATGGTATTGTTTGAAAAATCGATTCTAACATATCTGATTTTAGATATGAGATGCACGTTTATTGATGCTCCATTCAAATTTTGCAAATTGATAGAGTTCCATTGTTTGAGATAATCACAGTTGCTTTTTTGGCTCCCATCGTCTTTCATTTTCAAATCCAGATGTAGGATAAAGAAATTAAAAGTATCTGTAGATTTTGAATATAATGGAAGTAACTGTTAGTTTATGAAAAATAGTAAACGGAAAGCATTAATTTTTAGGTTATCTACATTTTTGTTATGCGTAAAGCTTTGATGAGAGAGAGAGAGAGAGAGAGAGAGAACGAGCTGGAAGCACAAGAGATCTGGTAGTGCCGCTCATATTCTAGCATATTAGACGTGGAAGATGGGCAAGGGATAACTTAATCAGTTCAATTTCAAAGACATGTGCATCTCGCATGAGTCCTACATGGCTCACTCATAATCAGCCTACTCCACATAGTTATCACTATTTTATAGGTCCTAGCTGTCCTAGTGGTAATTTCAGCTGTACACTTAGGCAATTGACACTTAATTAAAAAATTTTAAATGATTTAAACACTTGATTGTAAAACTTTTCCGATTAGATACCAAAATAGAAAATTTTGAATAGTTGACATATCAAATTTATAGTTATGCCTTAATTATGAGATAAGTCTCTCTCTCTACTTCAAAAAAGAAAAAAAATTAAAAGTTTTCATTGCCTCCTTAATCATTTAATTTCCACTTATCTATTTTTATTTTACCAAAAATATAAGATTCATAATTGAATTTAAAAATTAGTCGGTTATTATGATTACTAAACTTATCTTTGTTTTTTCCTAATTGAATTAAAATATTTATTCTGTTAATATATACTTAATTTTTTATTTGAATTTAGATTTTTTTAATCGACTTACTTAATATATCTGTTCCTTTTTTAAAATTTTTTTAATGTTAAGATTTCCAATTGGGTTCAAATAATCAAATTTGAGTTAAATGTCATAATAGTAAATATCTACCATTTTTTATTTTACTAAATATTGAGATTTCTATCTAAGCTTAAATATTAATCTTTTGTTGTCATAAAAATATATTGGGATTTCTAATTGAGCTTAAATATTAATCTTTTGTTGTCATAATAATAAATTACAAATGATTTTCTTGGTTTGTTTCCAAATTATGTTAATAGAGTCTATAATCCGGCGTGATGCGCTGGTTAATTATCGTATATTATATATTTATAAATATAATTTTAAAGTTGTGTGATGATATAATAGAATTTGACATTTTATAATAAAAGTTTATACATGATACTTCATATTTGTTGACTTTGTACATAATAATTTAACTTCTAGATATCATTATGAATACTATATTGACATTATTATAATGTACATGTAATTATATAAGAAACTATAATAGTATCTATAGAATTTGATAATGCTACTTCTAGTAGAGTTTTGTCAAAATATTTGTTATTACACAAATACAAATATATTTTTTCAACCAAATAAAGTTGAAAATCTATGTTTGTTTGTTTTTGTTTTAATTGACACAACTTTATTATATATTTTTTAACAATACAATTTTATTGTCAGTTATAATAGTTTTAAACATTTTTTTAAAATATTAATAATAATTAATAAACATTATTAATAAAATTAATTTCATCAATAATTTATTATTTAAATAATCATCAAAGACAATTTATATTCATAATTAGTTGAAAAAAATTATCCATTTAGTATCTCAATTAAAGTTTTTCAATGTAAATATATACAAAATAAAATTCTCTTAATGTGAATTAGATATATAATATTTCTCAAATGAAAATGGGCAATTTGTATAAATAAAGTCAAAACTAATTTTTATTAATTTTTTGACTTTTGAAATTTTAATTTGAGTCAATTTAAACAAAAAGAGTTATAAAAATATAAATTTATATAGGTATTATTATTCTTGGGTTTAAATAAGATATCAAATATTATTATTTTATTAATTGGAAAAATAAAAAAATAAAAAATATTATTTCAAAAATAGAATTAGTGGAACTTTATATAAGTTTATAATATCAATCTTTAAATATTATTTCAAAAATAGAATTAGTGGAACTTTATATAAGTTTATAATATCAATCTTTAATTTGCTTGTAATTAATATTTGATAGATAATTACTTATTATAAATGTATATATTGATAGCACTTAATGTTAACAGTAACATGTATATGAACTATCAAAACTTTCAAATTCTAATGATTTTAATATTATGAGAGAAGATATATGGCATTTATTGATTAATTAGGTCTAAAAAAAAAAAAAAAAAAAAAAAAAAAATCAAATTACCAAAAAAGTTAATCATGATATTTTTTTTAATTTAAATCAATGTGTACATCAATTTATATATTATCAAAAAAAAAAAAAAAAATCAAATTAACCAAAAAAGTTAATCATGAATATTTTTTTATTTAAATCAATGGTACATCAATTTTATATATTATAAAATTAACTATTCATATTATTTATAATTATGCATTCAAAAAATTAATGGCTCACATTAAGTTTCACTTATATAAACTACAAAAAAGTTTAATTTAAGGAAATTTAACAGTTAAAATAAGAATGTAATTAAAAAATAACAAAAGGCTTAAGTAGAAAAATAATATCGGATAGGAATGTAATTAAATAACTACAAAAAGATTAAATGGGTACAATTACTATTCTGTCAATAATTTAATTAAAGAATAATAAAAGGATTAAAAATATTATAGGTAAAAATGTAATTAATGAAAAGTAAAAGGGTATAGTGGGAAAAAAACACTGTTATGGGAACAGTGTTTTCCATGCTTGTTAGATATATATAATAATATTTTATCTTTTTTTAAATATTAAGATTTGTAATTAAGTTAACATATTTTTCATTTTTTTTGTTTTAATATTTTTAATTGAGCTCAAATATTAGTTTTTCATTGATATAATAATAAATTACTAAGGATATTTTTGTTTTACCTAATTCTACTAAAATATCTATATAAACATTACGATATATCTATAATTTTCAAAAAAATTATTAGATTACTAATCATATTTTTGTCATAATAATAGAATTTATCTTTTATTGTCACCTTCAAAGAATTTATCTTTTATTGTCATAATAATAGATTACTAATCATATTTTTGTCCTTTCGATTATTTTTCTTTGTCATTCTTATTTGTAAAGGTAAACATTTGGCCAATATGGTCAATATAATTATCCGTTTATTGAATTTGCATTAACCGATTTACCAACTTAACATATGCCATTTACTATACGACTTATATATTTACTAAATTTAAAATTTTCTGAATAATTGATTTACGATAGAGTTTTGCTGTTTATTGATCGATTTATTGAATTGATCGGTTTGATAATAAGATTGGCTTTTTAAAAAAGAAAAAAACTTAAAATAATATCATTTTGACTAAATTGGTAAATTGAAATTTTTGATTTTTTTGGCATTTACCGAACCATTTACCTTTTATCAAACCGTATTTTATCGAAATCAATTTTTATTGTATTTTGTCTATCTCAATCTGCGTGTGTATATATGAAGAGGAATTTTTTTAGAGAAAAATAAAAAATATAAAAAAAGATGTGTACAATAGGTCAATAAGTGTTTAATCAGTATGATTTCAAAGTCAATATCTGAAAACTCATAAGAGTTACATAATTTACCATCATCAAAGCATCACATTCATTCTAAATAGGTATGATCTGTTTGTTCTTTTTATTAACATGAGAAGTTAGAGGCTTGAATTTGAATACTCTCGACCACAAGAGTTTTTACCGTTTGGTAAATCTCTGTTGGTCCACCCAATAAATAATAAAGCACCATATTCATAAAGCCATGGCTATTCGAGTTAAACCAGATATGCATCTCTTTATTTAGAAAAATATCTGAATTGAAAAAAGAAAAGTTAAAAAAGACCTGAATTGAAGAAAGAAAAGTAAAAAAAATATTAAACAAGTTTCTATACCAAAAGATATGCATGTACACTGGGACATCTATCATGACGAGAGTTTTTAAACACAATGAAATTACACTATTTTTTAGATACTATAGTTTAAATCCTATATATTAAAATTTAAAATTATATACCATAAATCCTAAAAACTTAAAACTAAACCTTCATAAAATTTCAAATCCTAAAATCCTAAAATTCAAAAATCTAAATCCTAAACTCTAAGACCCTAAATCCCTAAATTATAAATTGCTAAGACTTTAAAATCTAAGACTAATATATTGTTTCACTCTGAACTTAGTGTTTTATTACAGTTTCACTCTGATTTGACATTTATATTAATTCTATCCTGAATTTTGACATTTTATTGTAATTTTACTCAAATTTGACCTTTATACCAGTTTCACCATGACTTTTGACTTTTTATTGCAATAGCATCCTAAATTATAAATAAAAGATAATTTCACTATTGACCTTGGGTTTAGGTTAACTTAATACATTTGTATGAGTGTGAGAGTTTGGATTAATAGGAAGAACAATTTCTATTATTATTTTAAATATTTTTAAATTATTTTTTTGATTGATAATAAGTAATATTTAAAAATTAATTATTTGATAAATGAACAATTTTTTTTTAAAAAATTAGAATTCAATTATTATTATTATGGTTTGATTTTAATATAAATTTTGGAATAATTATAAAATCAACAAAGCTACTATATTTGAATTTTAAACTATTAGCAATTGTAAAATTTTTTTGTCAAAATAGAATATAATCAATTATAGTTTATAATCGTAAAATGAAAAAATTATATCTATTTAAGATAACAATTAAATTTAATATATTTGTGTGAGTGGGTAAACTTGGATTAAATTAACTAAGAGTCAAGTGTAGGTTTCATATTAATATATTTTTTTTTAATTTAAATTTTAATTGCAATTTAGGATATTATTGTAATGGAAAATCAGAGTTCAAAGTAAAATTGATATGAATGTGAAAATAAAATGAAAAATTGCAACTCAGTAGAGAGCGTGAAACAATACATTAAACCCTAAAATCTGAAACTCAATTTTATTGTTTTCAGGCGGTCATATATGTTTTTTCTACACCAAAAAATCAAACAATGCTTAAGATCAAATCCAGCGACTCCTCATAATAAGCAAAGCCAAGTCGTTCCCTTCCTACTATTATCCCTCTATTCAACACAAGTGGGCCCTACTAAAACCTCAAATCAGAATCAGAATCTCAATCTCAAATAAATCCTAACGTATCTAAAAAACTAAATATCTAAATATCCCACCACATATATACTAACTTCCAGTCTCCCCTTACCTTCACTCCCCTCTCTCTTGCTCCAATGGATTCTCTAACTCTCTTCCTTACTCTCTCTGTTCCTTTCATCGGCCTTTATTGGTTCCTCTGCATTCTTGGCTCCGCCGAACAGAAAGGCAAACACGCTTCTCAACTCTCCGGCGGCTCTATTGCAGCCGAGAAAGTCCAAGACAAATACAATCAATATTGGTCCTTCTTTCGATCTCCAAAACAAATCAAGACCGTCGAGGAAGTCCCAGCCTTTGTCGACACCTTTTACAACCTCGTTACCGATATATACGAATGGGGTTGGGGCCAATCTTTCCATTTTTCCCCTTCAATTCCCGGAAAATCTCACCGAGATGCCACTCGCCTGCACGAGGAATTCGCTGTTGATTTACTCAATGTTAAGCCCGGTGATAAAATCCTCGACGCCGGTTGTGGTGTCGGTGGGCCAATGCGGGCAATAGCTAAGCATTCGGGCGCGAATGTTGTTGGTATTACGATTAATCAGTATCAGGTGGATAGAGCTAAATTGCATAATAAGAAAGCTGGATTGGATAAACAATGTGATGTTGTTTGTGGAAATTTTTTGAAAATGCCGTTTGATGATAATAGTTTTGATGGGGCTTATTCAGTTGAAGCTACATGCCATGCTCCAAAGCTTGAAGAAGTGTACGGAGAAATTTACAGGGTTTTGAAACCGGGTTCTTTTTATATTTCATATGAATGGGTCACTACTGATTTGTATAAATCGGAGGATCCTACCCATGTCGAGATAATTCAAGGGATTGAGAGAGGAGATGCATTGCCTGGATTAAGAAGTTATAGTGACATTGCTGAGAATGCAAAGAAAGTTGGGTTTGAGGTTGTGAGAGAGAAGGATTTGGCGAAGCCGCCGGCATGCCCATGGTGGTCTAGGTTGAAAATGGGGAGAATTGCTTATTGGAGGAATCATATTTTAATTACAGTGCTTGGTTGGATAGGAATTGCACCAAAAGGAGTTGTGGATGTTCATGAAATGTTGTACGATACAGCTCATTATTTGACTCAAGGAGGAGAGACTGGCATTTTCACTCCTATGCATATGATATTGTGCAAGAAACCTGAGTCCTCTGCTGCTGCTTCTGATTCCTAGATGGTGCTGCTTTGTCTTTTTATTTTCTTTCTAGTTTTATTTAGACTGCTATTGTTTCTTGCTTAGGATATTGGTTTTAGAGTTTTAGTCTGCATTTGTGATTATTGCTTCTTAGTTATTTGTTTATTTTAGGGAGGAATTATGTCCAAATGTTTTAGAGGAAGGTTGGTGAAGAAAATATGAAATTTTGGCCTCTAACTTAGCAGATGAAGTTCCTCTAATTTGCTGTGGTTTTGCTTTGCTATACTTTAATGCAAGGAATTTGATAGCTGACTTACTTCTCCTAATTATGAATCCAGTTCAATTCTTTTTTTAATTCAATGACAAAATATGCAATTATTATATTTATTTTTTTCGATCTGGTGAATATATTTTGTCACTGAGCTTAGTGGGTTTTTTTGGGTTTAAGCTGCAATTGCTGCTGTCAAAGTGCAGTGTTTGTCTTAAAATAGTTACTAAATATATGATTAGACAATTGCATGTGATGCAGCTAGCTGTATTAGATAGAGTTATGTCAGTGTCACTTGTGGTCCAACTGTGCTTTAGAGGACTGTGTTAGGATCAGAGAGATTGTTGTTTTTTGAAATGAGATTAGAAAGATTGTTACCCAGATGCTCTGTGTAGTTGTTAATATTATGCACCTAACAATGATTTATTATGCATTTTTAGAGTATTTCATTTTTATATGCAAAATGTTAATTTGTTATGTACTTAGCATAATTTTCACATTTTTTGAATATTCAATAGATACTTAATTAGTCTAATTGTATAAATCAAAGTGTTGAAGAAAATGATTTTCTAAGTTCAATTGTTTAGTCGGTGTAATTTTATAAGTTTTTGATGAGTCAAATTAAAAGATTGAGTGCATTAAAATAACAAAATTTAACGGTGAAATTATATATGCGGCCATAAGAAAAATTATTACTTTATTCTTGTCTTTTGCCAAAATATATTACTCTATCACTGCAATTTTGAAAATATATTAATCTTTCTCTATGCTTTGCATCCGCTACACTATTATATCATTCTATCAATTTTTTTATACTTTTTTCCATTAATACTTATAACACTACATTTCCATTTATTTTCGATATTTTTCATAAAAAATATTTTTCGTAATTTGTTTGCAATATTAAAAATTAATTAAAATATATTAAAATCTTTACTCATAAGACTATAAAATTATAATTAATAATAGAAATTTCGTATTTTAAAAGATTTTTTTTTTTGTTAATCTCTTTTTAGGATTTCATTAAAAAACTTCTCTTGAAGACAGATATAGAACAAAAATTATTATAATTAAAATAATTATTGTTCGCTAATCTAATAAGAAATTTTAATGAAAAAATTATGATTAAATATGATAAAAATGCAAAAAAGTATTAAATTATGAAAGTCGAAATGGTGGTCGACCCTGGTGGCCGATGGTGAACAGTAACCGGTGGTAGTGGCTATTGGTGAATAAAAAATTAAAAAATGTGCAATTCTAATATTATAATAAGTTTGTCAATATTCAGAAAATATTTCTCAAAAATGGAAAATCATTTTCTTTAAAAAGAACTTAGTTTTCCTTTAACCAAAAAAATATTTTCCAATTAACTTATTTTCTTGAACACCCCAAATAATGAAAAATTGTAGAAAATATTTTTCCGCAAGTTATTTCATGGAAAGAAATGGCGTCATTGAAAAAATTAACTCTTTTTTCCGCATTTTACCAAAATTAACTAGTTTTTCTGTGATTTTTTGCAATTTTTTGTGGTTTTTACAGAAAAAGTACAAAAAATTGATGAGAGGACAAAACAATATAATGGATGCAAAACATAAGTAAAAGTTGGTGTATTAAAAAAAATTTAGGGATACATTAATGTATTTTGGCAAAATATTAAAAAAAAAAATAATTTTTCCTTATTAATTTTTGGAAGTATTTTGATAGAAACAACAACTCAACATGTAATTTGTTGAGACAGAGAAAAAATTATATTAAACATTCTGAAAAAATAACAGGAAGCTGATTTTTAAAATAGCTTTAAGATATTAGCTACAGGAATAAATTTTTGCAAGGGAAATACTATTTCAATAAATGTTTCCGTAAGTTAGGGATATTTTATTTTATTGTTATTTTTGGAATATCAGATTGTTATATTTGGAATATTGGATTCTACTTCAATTTGAAATTATCTATCCTCCCATTTGTAATCAACAAGAGAACTGTACTTGGATTTACCATACAGATTTCAAAGAAATGGACCCTTCTTTTTGTTTCATCTTCTTTGTCTGCATAATTGTCACTCTTGAAGCAATCACAATAAGCAAAATGGGGTTTCCTGACAAGTTTATATATTTCTGAGTAAGCTATTTTTGCGGATCCCAATTGTAACTTACTGGAAGGTACGTTGAATCCTTCAAAATAGAAAATTTACCTTCATTTCTGTTCTTTCTTACTGTTCTGATATAATGGAGCCTTCAACAAAAGAACGAAGATTAGCTGTCCATAACATGGCTGGGTTGGAAAGAAAATTTTATAGATTTTAACTTTCTTGGAAAGAAAATTGTGTTTTGGTGAGTATGTCTGTTGTCTTGTTTGGCACGTGGCTTTATTCCCTCTCCGGGTCTTTTGGATCTCACACCTTTTGTCCTTCTTTATTATCCTAATATTTATATGTTCTTCTATTGTTTTGAAGGAGCTTCATGTTTGCTTATGGTGAATTATTGTATGAGCTTTACTATTCTATTTCTAGTTAACGTTATTGCTCCAGATAAATTTAATACTAGTTCTGAATCTGTGCTTCCTATTTGAGTATTTATATGTTGTTTGATTTGAATAATTATTGTTATTAAATTATGTTAATATTTTAAAAAGCTTTTGATTTCCAATTGTAAGTATTTTAGGTAAGACGTAGAAATGTTTATAACATATAAATCGGTATAGCTACAAATGACAAAAAAAAAAAAAAATGTAGATAAATATAATTATCAAATTGATAAAAATTATTTTCTTATTATTAAGAGGACTTGAACTCGAGATCTGTCACTTTTTGTATTAGTGAGAAGACTAATCAGAATATACTTGATTGATGTTTTTGAATTATTTATTGCTATTTTGAAAAGTTTTTGATTTGCAATTTAAAAATAATATGTCGTAAATACATATATATGTTATATAGATATTATTAAACAGAACAGAGTTATGATTATCTACATATAACTAATCTAATTAATTATAAACAAAATCTTTTTTTTAATGTGCAATCCAATCAAAATATATAGTAAAATAAAGTAAAAATTTTTTAATAGCTATCAGATATAAATTGTATATAAACTTTAAAAAAATATCTCAAGCTATTCAATCAAAATTTAGGAAAATTTAGGAAAATAAAGCATGTTGTGACATAGTCTAGTAGTAAATACATATACAACTTGATAATAGATTCAAGTTTGAATCATCTCCCTAATACTCAAAAAAATTTTAGAAAAATAAAGAAAAAAAATTTTAAAAATTCTTCAAAAGGAAAAATAGAATGCTTAACCTAAAAAAAAAACCCAAACTTTGCGAGCTGCTGCAAGACCATTCTAAAATGACTTTTATCCTCTTAAGACCTCAACTTACAAACTTAGATATTATTACACTAAATTCAAATTTTGCCTAGGTTATAATAAAATAATATAAAAGTAGGACTCGCTAAATCAGTTTTGAGTTAAATAAATCAAAACACACATTTTGAAATTAGAAAGTCACAAACTATAATTTCTCCTTTCCAGCTCCCTTCTTTCTTCTCCATTGATAATGCCTTTTAGGAGAGTTTGTAATTTTGTGGAGATGATAAGGGAAATGTGACACCCTAGGCAAATCCCGAGTCGGTTAAGCACAAGATAAAAATAATATATATAAGTAAGGGTAATGTGACACCTTAGGCGAATCCTCCGTCGACTAAGCCCAATATGGAAATAATAGACCTAAGAAAGGACAAGCCTTAAAATAACAAGACACGTTTTGGAAAAGAGAAATGGATTTTATTCTTGAAATAAATAGTGATTTGATATCCAATTTCCTTTCCATTCTTTTCCTCTAATGAGATTTTATATTCCATAGCCCAATTAGCAATCAAAGGCATTTTCTTGACGTCCAGTGATTATATTTACTTCAGTCTCAAGTCCCTCTTCACAAGATCACTGTTTGTGTTCTATTGATTTTGATTTTTTGCCATTTTAATATGAATTTAGTCATGGGTGTTATCAGTTACCTTCATTTTATCACTAGGTTAGAATTTGTTTTATTGATAGTTTCCTTCTTCTTATCTAATTTTCTTCATTGGGTTTCATTTTTTTTTTCTTCGATTTCATCATTGTATTGATCTGTGTGTTTATTTGTTTATTTCTTGCTTGATCATGGCTTTTACTTGTTAATTTGCTCTAGTTACTGGCTGCATTTTGTCTAACAAACTTAAAATTACATACAACTACCCCATCGGTTTCTTTATCAATCTAAAAGATGCAATATTTGGTGTCATATGCTTAAGATGTAATTGATTGAGAATGAAGAGAAGAGAAGAGATTGTCAATGAAAAAGTAAGAAAGGAGATCGACGCTGCTGCAATTTTCTAATTCAGAAAACGGGCATTTTGATTAATTTTTGGTCTTTGATTAAGTTAACTCAAGGTAATCGGGTCGGTTTCAATTTTATATTATTTTATTGCAAACCCTAAATGAAATTCGAATTTAGAATAATAATATATCTAAGTTTGTAAGTTGAGATGTCCAAGGGACAAAGGTTATTTTACGGGGATATTGAAACAGGTCTCAAAATTCAGAATACTTTTATAGGTTAAGTCAAAATAGAACAGTAAATAGAGATAGCTAAATTTTGAATTGGATTAACCAGTCTGTCTACTTGGCATTGTTCGGAATATGAAGAAAATGTAATACTCTCTTTATTTGGAGAAAACGGAAAAAAAAAAAAAAACTCTTAGATTAAGAAAGTTAGTTAATTGAACTTTTCTCTCTAAAATGTCCTTAAAAGGAGTTAATTTTGTCATTAATTATGAGAATACCAACTGACACTAGAGGCAATCCCAAGAAGTGCATTAATGACCTATTTGCATGGATAAGGATGTCACTTTCAATAAAAATTCAAACCTTCTATATTTTTGTTATGACAATTTATGAGACCGGGAGATACTTTACATAATATGTGCACACCAATAAAATAAATTTTAAAGCAAAATTTTTTGAGTCTACAATCAGACTCTTCAATTTTTAAATTTAAGTTACATATAAAACAAAACCACTGTTAATAATCTGATTCAAAGAAATATTCATTTATCCATAACATCTAAATCGGTCATATCATCTCCAGATCAGTCATTGTTTTGCATTCTGAAGACTTGAATCCTCTAGATATTGAAGCAAAAATGACTTCAAATTGTCACTCAACAGTACTGTTTTCATGCATTGCAGGATCAAGCACATCTTTTGGACTTTGGTCACGTTGGTCATCATTATTTATTTGTTTCTCTAGAAGACTATCAGGTTTAGCCATATTTGCATCTTTTTTATCACTATTAGCAAAAATAGGTGTTCGGGAACCTGAAGTACTGATCAGTTCCTTCAAGAAAAGTGTCTCAAATCAGCAACAAAAAACTGCAGCTCTTAAGTTGTGCACTATTTTTTTTTATTTACTCATTGTTTTTATTTACCTTTTCCACCAATGTGGCCAAAATAGTATTAATTGTATTTTTCTTTTTTCAAAATCTCACACATCTACACTTTTAAATAACAAAATGTGATTGTTTCCAGAACCTAATTACCCAATATATTTGTTCCATACACTTACAGTTGTGGCCACGTTTACGATGATAAAAGTGGACATATAGTCATCGAACATACAAATAATGGCTAACGTTATATTTATGTGACAATAATTTGACATTTAGAACTTGCACTTTAATTTTATAGCCAGATTTATATAAAGGACCATCAACATGCAAAATCAATATGAAAAAGTAAAATGATAATTGGTCTTTTGCAACACGCGTACATTAAATGTTGAGAATACTTGTTTTTATCACTTTTCTCTATTGTTGAGCTTCAATCTTGAAATAAATACATATATTCCAAGGTCATTAATTTCTTTTTTTTTAACTTGGCTTGCAAAGATACTATTTAGAGTAAAATTTTCTATATAAAAAATATATCTAAAAAGAAAATTTTCTCTAAATAAAAAGAACCAACGGAGTAATTAACCATCTCATAATATATGGACTAAACTAAACTTTAAATATTGGAAGGTCAAATTCATCAGGTGTACTTACATCAATGTAGATATAGTTAAACAAAAATGGAATAATGTCATTATTGTATATTTATATACCCTATAAGGTAGATCGACAATAGGGTTTAAGTAAGCTTAATATGTGGATCAACATTAAGATCTAAGTAAGCTTAACGTCGAGACTCGTAATAAGCCTAATTAAACGTTTTCCAAAACCAGCTCAAATGTTAACACACACATATTCTCTATTTTTGTGTTTATCTCATAAAAAGTATCATTATATTTTAAATAAAAGAAATGTTTACTAAAATTTCATTTAACTTAATTTTTTTCTTAGTTTGATTTTGATGTGTGTGTACATATATAATAATTATTTTTAGGTAGAATATTATAATATTTATTCTTGGATTTTTTTTTTTTTTGTTAAGACCCATTTTATCTGAATTGGACTGGCTCTAGGATCTGAAAAAATCTAAAGCGTTCAAAACCAATAATAAGTCTAAATTGACATTCATTGACATATAAACAGAAAAAAAAAAATCCAAATTTCAATTAATTAGGCCTCAAAGCTACGAATGGAAAGCAGGGGCTATTTTTTGTGGACACAACCTGTAAAAACTCATTTAAAGCAGGTCCCGATATTTACATGAGATTGGAACACATATGAATATTAAATTAATTATTCACCGTGGATTTAGGTTAGGTGTTGATTGAATTGTGCATATCTTTTATCCATCAAAATTTATTATATAATTTTAAGATATTTAATATAATAAAATTGAAGTAAAAATTTAATTTCATATTGAACTCAATATTTTACTAAAATTAAAGTAAATTAAATTCAAAGCTAAAGCTACAAACCGTATTGTTATCAAATACCAAAAAAAGAAAATTTGGTAAATAAGAATTTACAGATTCTCACGGGCTTGGCACGTATGCTTTCAAGCATAATCATAATCACACTCATTTGCCCTGCCAGCTGAATATTAAACGCATGTGATGTGAGCATTCACATGTTCAGTTTTACCCTGCTAAACTTTACACATCTCAGAAACTTCCACACGTAACAATGTTCCTGCTATAGTTACGGATAGCTACTATTATTACAATAATAAAGAAAATAAATAAATAACTACACCTCTGTTCCGTCAGTATTTATCACATCTGAAAAAATAATTTATTTTAAAATATTTATCACATTTGTGATTTCAAAAAGTAGTAAACCAATATCATTACTTCAATTCAATAATTTTTTTAGAGAATTAATATTAAATTAAAAATAATATAATTAATTTACTCAATAATTTATTATAATTTAGACACATTTAATAATTTTAATAATATATAATTTACTCAATAATTTATTATATTTAGACACTTTAAATTAAAAATAATATAATTAATTTACTCAATAATTTATTATAATTTAGACACATTTAATAATTTTATTAAGAAATGTGAAATTCTAAATGTAACTCCAGCAAAGGTAATAGATAAGATTTGATATTCAAAATTTAATATTCCTATTCCTATAATTTAATAAATTTCATTCTGCGCGCAAATCAAACATGCACTACAGTGGCCGCGGACGAGAACATCCTATTCCTACGCGATTCCAGCTTCTGAAACACAGCCACCGACTTGGATGCCAAATAGAATACGGAATCTAAAGTTAATTGTTAGAGTTAGAAGAGATGTGTTAGGTGATTATTCTTATTCCAAACCATTAAACAACATTTGCAGAAGAAGAAGAGAGGAATGATTGATTGATTGATTACATATGACAGGCTAGAAACAGCTAAACCATTGACAATTCTCTCCCCTGTACCAAACTCAACCTATCCATTACCTTTGTGCTAATTAAATGTAATCATCTTTCTAATATGCTTATACGAGTACTAATTGATAAGGTAAGCATAATTTGGTATAATCAAAGCTAAAATAGAAAATTGGAGTTATCTAAAATTATAAACCGAACCGATTAACCAAATAACCAAACTTAAAAGCCTAATGCATCAGCTTGATTCAATTTTCGATTTTGACCTGTGTGCTTATCCAGCTCCCTATCTGTAATGCAAGTACAAAAAAGAAACAAAGTGCATACTAATCATATTCCAGATTTATAAAAACATATCCCTTCTTTACGCGTTGCCATTGCAAGCGTAATATTAGGGTTTGCATGTGAGTCTTCTTTTTCTATACTAATTACATTTAGCATATGATTAAACTAACTAATGAAAGGTCGTTAAAGAACTGAAACTCATACATCAATCAAATAAACTTGTTTATTCCTAATTATTCTTTGATATTTAAGTGAGATGCTCCTAAACATATATATATATAGATATATATATAACAAAGTCAAAATCAAAATCAATATTTTTATATTGATTTTTGAACTAAGAGATGTATCTATCACCAATTTCTATAAAAGGCTAATCGTGGTCTCATGGAACATCAGTCCATAAACACAAGAAACAAGAACACGTTAACATGGAGTACTTGAGAGTCGCAGAAGGCAGAGGTTCTCCGAAGAGAGAATTCCGATCAGTAAAAGGTAGAATTAATAATCGGAATCTAAGGAACAATCTGTTGGAATCGATTGCCCAATCCAACGGTGGAAGTGTGGTTTCGCAGGCAGCCAATGAAGATGGAGTTGTGAGGATGAAGATATTAGTGAAGAAGCAAGATTTAAAGCAAATGCTGGAATTGGTAAGAAATGGCAGTAAGAACAATTCTTACCAGTCATCTTCATCGTCCTTTTCGTCTGTCGAACAACGGTTAAATCTTTTGCGTAGAAAGCACCTTTTGAGAGTTAATGCGGGGAAGGAAAGCCGTAGGCGTTCTGCTTGGATTCCTGCACTACAAAGCATTCCTGAGGAGTTCTGAAATGTTTAAGAATGATAGTATGACTGCTTAATGTAGGTTTAGAATTCTGATTTATTAATTGCATATTTCACTGATGAATAAAATCAGGTCTTTTTGCCGATCAAATATGATTTGGTTGGTCTCTAGATGGGAGGTGTCCGAAAGTTTTTACCAATTTGCAAGCTAAGGAAAGAACTATCTCTTGTATTATCTATCATGTTATTTTTTGCACATTCTCTTGTGGTAAGTATATATATAACCCGAAAAATAGACGAAGTTTGAATCCTCTAGCATTCTGTAATGTTACTTCCTCTCAATGAATTAAAAAGCAAAAAAAAAAAAAGGTTTTTTGTTTTGTTTTGTCCCAATGGTTATGTCATTGATTTTGCATCAATCAAAATTCAAAAATAAAAGAAGTGACTTAATAATTGAAGAGACCGAGTTGTTGAACCTTCATATGAATCCATAAAAGCTCAGGGTGCCTGGTGGGTTCAGCCGAGCAGGTTTGGGCTGGCTTATAAAAAGTAGGCTCAATCAGGTGCGCCTCATTGACAATGCGTTAGACTTGAATTCGCAATATTTAGGCATAGCAAACTATGGTTTAGATAAAAGCTAGATTTTTTAATCTCTGCCAAACCATCTAAAACCAGAACAAGATGCTGCTGATAATCTCGAATTTCGGAATTTAAAAGTCAATGATTCCGGAGTAAATGGTTAAAGCCACCATGTCTAAGCCAAGCAGCTTGAAACCTAAATAAGCAGGTTTAGGAGAACTTAAAGGAAATAGCCGGATAAGCAAAGGATTATGGTCAGAATGGAGACGAGGAAGATGCTGAACAGAAGCCTCAGAAAAACTGGATCTCCATCCTGCAGTACACGATGCTCTATCCAGATGAGCAGCTTTGCAATAAGGATTAGAATCACGGTTCCAAGTAAAAGATTGTCCAGAAAACCCAAGGTCAATAAGAAATGGATTAAAAATCCACTCACAAAATCTCGAATCCTAGGGTGAGAAGCATTAGCATAACCAACTTGTCCATCAGAAGACATTGTGGTATTGGAATCTCCAGCCACTAACCAACGATCTGATGCGCCAATATCAGAAAGAATAAGGGTCTCCCAAAGCTTTCTCCGCAAGAGAATATCTAGACTTCCAAAAACAGCCACCAGGTTCCAAGAAAACCCTTATAGAACCAGTGACTTTACAAACGACACATTGAGAATTGGTAGCCAATTGCTGAACAGAGTAGACCATATTAGATCAAAGAATCCAAATTCCCCCACTATAACAAGAGCTTCTATCCGAATCCAGTGTCGATACCCCATGGCGTTACAAACTCGCCTAGCATTTGCACCACTGATACGTGGTTCCAGAAGACAGCAAACATCAGGCTTGTGATGGCGTGAAGAAAATTAGCCGAGGCCCGCACCTCAGGAGAATATGATCACAAAAATAATTAAAATCTTAACATATAACACCATCATAAGACTAAAATCCCAATGGTGAAGCAAGCAAGGAAGAGAACAAATAATCAATTCACATGTCCCCTCTGAAGAGGAGGAGAAACAATAGCTAATGCTAACTGCTCAACAAATTCATTATCCGGAATCAAAGAATGGCTAGAAGTGGTTTCGGAAACAACCTCCATTGAATCCAACTGAAATACCCTATCCAGTGCTGTAGGATTACATAATGAATATCACATTCCGTGTCGGAGGCACATGTTGGCATTTTTTTTTTTTAATTTGAAATGGTACAGAATTAGAAAATTTTAGTTAAAATATTTGCGGAAGATTTAATAATGAAAAAAAACTTTTGGTAATAACTTATTAGCTCTAAATCCAATTTCTCTTAAAATTTTTCTTTTTTTTTTCTCTCTTATTTCTTTTATTTCTTTTCATTAATTACTTTTATAAATATTTAATTTTAAACATAAAATGAATTTTAATAATTATAATAAATTTATTTATTTAACATGTGAATATTAATAGTTGTCAAAATAATTCTAGTAATTATTAGTCATAATTATTTTGATCAATATTTACTAATAATTTTATTCAATTATATTTTAATAAGTAAATGACAAATACTATTTAGAATAATTTAAATACTCTGTAAATAGAGAAAAATCAAATTAAACTATTTTATGCAATTTCTCACTTTGGCAATAATAATTAATAATTTTTAATAAATACTAATAATTCTTGATAAAAAACAATTTAATTATTTAATAAATTAAAAAATAAAAACACAATAAAATTATTTCATATAATTTTATCAGGTACTCGAAAATCAGGGTGTTACACCAAATCAGAATTAGATATTAGGAGAAGAAGGGCGGAGTTACGAGGATTATTGTAATAAGCAAGCGAGTCGAGACAAGAGTTGATAACTAGGCTGCTTGCTAGTCATTAGCAATAAAACAAATAATTACTTTGTTTGCTTTGAGGGAAGTGAGATTAAAGATAATTACATTATTCGCATGAAAGAGAATAAAGTTTGATTAAAAAGGATAAGAAATTTCCAGGACTTCATTGAAAATGAGAATAAAGTTTGAGGGATGACTTTATTAATTTGTTTTAGTTAACTAAGGTCTTACTCTTCAAATAACTGCACCAGCTGATCCTATAGTCCGTCATTTTCACTTCAAGGTGCCAAAGCTAAACGATACATCCAATAACAAAACTTAAAGAACCGCTTCCGATGCCATGATTCTTTAAAAGCTGCAATTTCTCATGCTCTAGCTTATCCATGGCTGTAAAACTTTCTCACAGCTACTTCTTTAACTCCTACAAACCTGATGATGCTTCTTTTAAACAAATGGGAGCACCAAAAAGGGACCTTTTAGTCAATCCAAGAATCAGAAAATCGAACCCGACGAAAAAACAGATGTCAGAGACTCCAAAACGTGGTATGATTAAACCCAATAGTCTTTCTCTTACGCGGTCTCTATGTGAGTTTGTTGATTCTGGTGCTATGGATAATGCACTCTATCTGTTTGAGAAAATGAACCAACCAGATACTTATATATGGAATGTTATTATTAGAGGTTTTTCTAATAAAGGGTTATTTCAAGAAGTTATTGATTTTTATCATAGAATGGAATATGAAGGGATTGGAATTGATAATTTTACATTCCCCTTTGTTATAAAAGCATGTGGCCGTTTATTATCTTTTATTGAAGGTAAAAAGGTTCATGGGAAGTTGATTAAGATTGGATTGGATCGGGATATTTATGTTTGTAATTCTCTTATTGATATGTATTTCAAATTTGGGTTTGTTGAAGTTGCAGAGAAGGTTTTTGAAGCAATGCCTCTTAGAGACTTGGTTTCTTGGAATTGTATGGTTAATGGTTATCGAGTGATTGGTGATGGACTGAAGTCATTGATGTGCTTTAAAGAAATGTTGGGTCTTGGAGAGAAACCTGATAGGCTTAGTATGATTAGTTCTCTTGGTGGTTGTTCTATTGGATGTTGTGTGCGTGGGGGGAAGGAAATTCATTGCCAAGTTATTAGAAATGGGCTTGAGTTGGATATTATGGTGCAGACATCTCTTATTGATATGTATGCTAAATGTGGTAAAGTGGATTATGCAGAAAGGGTATTTAATGAAATGACATGTAAAAATATAGTAGCTTGGAACGCTATGATTGGTGGGTATGCTATAAATGGTCATTTTTTGGAATCATTTACTTGCTTGAAAAGAATGCAAGAGGATAACTTGATTCCAGATGCCATTACAATGATAAATTTGCTTCCATCTTGTTCAAAATTCGGAACTCTCTTGGAAGGTAAATGTATCCATGGTTATGCCATTAGGAAAATGTTTCTCCCTCATTTAGTACTCGAAACTGCTTTAGTTGACATGTATGGAAAATGTGGACAATTGAAATTCGCAGAATGTGTATTTGGTCGAATAAATGAGAAGAACATGGTATCGTGGAATGCCATCATAGCTGCTTATGTACAGAATGGGCGGAATGAAGAAGCTTTGGAATTGTTCCATTGCCTTCGGAATCAGACTCTCAAACCAGATGCGGTTACAATTGCAAGCATCCTACCTGCCTATGCTGAATTAGCCACAGTGAGTGAGTGTAAACAGATTCATGCTTATATCACAAAATTAGAGCTTAGCTCAAATACTTTCACCTCAAATGCAATTGTTTACATGTATGCAAAATGTGGTGATCTTCAGACTGCAAGAAGATATTTTGACAGTATGTCATTTAAGAACTTAGTCTCTTGGAATACGATGATTATGGCTTATGCTATTCATGGATTCGGAACAATTTCTATCCAATTGTTTTCCAGAATGAAACAAAACGGCATAGAACCTAATGAAAGCACTTTTGTTTCTTTATTATCATCTTGTAGCATCTCTGGTCTGGTCAATGAAGGGTGGGAATTGTTCAATTCTATGAAAATGGACTATAACATTGATTATGGGATAGAGCATTATGGTTGTATGGTGGATCTTCTTGGACGCACTGGAAATCTTGATGCAGCCAAGCAGTTCATCGAAGAGATGCCTCTGGTCCCAACAGCCCGGATATGGGGCTCTTTACTAACTGCAAGTAGAAACAATAATGACATTTTCTTTGCCGAATTTGCAGCCAAGCATATTTTGTCGCATGACAACGACAATACCGGTTGCTATGTCTTGCTTGCTAATATGTACGCTGAAGCTGGAAGGTGGGAAGATGTAGAGCAAATTAAACTTGTTATGAAGAAAAAAGGGTTGGCAAAGACGGTTGATTGTTGCACGGTTGAGAGTAAAGGTAAAAGTCAGAAGTTCATCAATAATAACAAGTCTCACCAACAAGCATACATGATTTATGATGTGTTGGATATTATCTTGAAGAAGATTGGGGAAGATGTTTATATTCATTCTCTTAGTAAGTTCAGACCAGCAGATGTGATAAAAAAGAAAATGAAATCACCACAGAATCACAGTGTCAAACTGGCTATTTGCTTCGGCTTGATCTCTACAGCAATTGGAAAACCTATCATTATTAGAAAGAACACTAGAATATGTAAAGATTGCCATATTGCTGCAAAGAAGATTTCAAGAGTTACTAAAAGAGAAATTATAGTGGGGGATTCAAAAATTTTTCACCACTTCGAGGATGGGCGTTGCTCCTGCGGTGATTATTGGTGATAATGTTTTTTCAGTTTCATTTACTTCAAGATGATGTTGTAAGCAATCCTAGATACTCTTCTTTGTACAAGCATACGAAGTGTATATATTTTTACCACTTACTGATGTAAATTTCACATTTCAAAAGAAGTGATCGGTTTCTCTTTAAAAATAGGGAAAATTATAATCTTGTACTTTTATTTTGTCAAAAATAATTACTTTGTTCTTGTTTTTTTGAAACTAAGCTATTTTATCATCATATTTTGCTTCCTTCGAGTTAATTTTACTCTATACGTGGGTCTAAATAATAAAATGGCTTTTGATACAATTGAATTTTTCTGTTTGCCAAAATGCTGCATAAGTGGCACGTGAATATATTTGTAGTACTTTTTCCTTTTAAAAAAAAAATTATCTCCTCTGGCTCATATTTATATCTCTCATTTTTTCTTTTTCATTCTCTCTTTTATTGAGACATTTTTTATTAATTCTTTATGCTAAATTTCTCTCTCTCTCTCTAGATCAAAGTTTTGTTTGGTAGGTGAAATTCCAATGAGTTCAAAGAAGAAAAAAAAATCAATTTTAAAACAAAACAAAAAAGATCTACATTTAAAAAAATAGAAAAGGCGGGTGATCGTGAATGGTGGCATTGATGCAGTTTTTTCTTTTTTTTCTTTTCTTTTTTTCAGAACAGTATTATTGTTAAAAAAAAGGGGAAAAGTATTTTCGGATCTATTAAGTTTTACAAAATACATGATTTCATCCTCGTTATTTATGATAGTATCATGTCCCCATCTGAATTTTTAGTCCTTCTGTCGAAAAAATAACATTTTTTCCGTTAATTTTACAAAATAAAAAGACAGAAATACCCTTGTTATGGGACCCACAAACATAATTTTTGTTCACCGACTTCACCAAATCCTGCCTTCCCAATGGGTTTGGACGTTCCTTGCTCTACCGTGTCCATTGCAACAGATTTGGGATTGGAGAGTAGAGGTTGTTCACTGTTGGGTCTCTTCCTCACTGTAAACACTAAGAGGAGATTTGGGATTGGGTTTCTTCTTCAACAAAGAAACCAAAAATAAATAAATAAATAAATAGTAGGTATTCCGTTTTCTCTCTCTTCATCTTCAAGAAGCCCGTCTTCTTCAATTACCGGACACTCCTTCAATCACCACCAACAATGAAACTGCCTAATCAAATTCAGATCATTGCAACAAGCAGTAATAACTCCATTAATAACTCCAGAAAGCGTGAATCCATCCATTTCAATACCAATCTCTCTCATTTCCTTAAACAATTTCATGAACAATGATAAGCGTGTTGTAAGAGACGATATCAGGCTGAGGAATTTGATCAAACAGGTGATGTGCAATGTCAGGTGATTCAAACAATTACATAGGCAAGACCCTCAAGATCGGAAAAAAGACCACAAAAGAATAAGAACGTCGATTTGCTTCAGTCTAGTGTCATCAGCGAAAGGGAGCACCGGAACTGAGGTCGCGGATGCTTTGAGTATCTCTCGCTGACTTAGTTTCATCAGATGGTGGCCGAAGTTAACCGGGAAAGAGAGATCGCCGCTTGCGATTGAAGAGAGAGAGAGAGAGAGAGAGAGAGAGAGAGAGGAGTGAAATTTTTTTTCTTTTCTTTTCTTTCTGTTTTTCGTTTTTATTTCTCTTCTACTTTTCTTTTCTTCTTTTATTTTTTTTTATATAATTATTTTTACATACAAATAACGGTATTTTTATCTTTTTTTTTTATAAAATTAATAGGAAAAAATGTATTTTTTTTATGGAAGGAATAAAAATTCAGACGAAGGCATATCTTAAGAACTCCCAAATAATTATCATAAACAGCAAAGATGAAGTCATGAACTTTGTAAAAACTCAAAGACCCTAAAATAATTTTTCCTTGAAAAAAATAGAAAAGGAAATTGCATGAGATACCATATTGATATGATTTATTACTCTAGTCTACGACCAAATCATGAATCCTAGCAATGAAAAATGCACTCCATCAATGAGTCCAAAGGTCTGTTTGATTAATTTTTCATAAAATGATAAAAGCTAAATGTTATATATGTCAATGTTTCATAAAATGTTATCTTATAAAAATTAATTCAAAAGTTATGTTACCGAACATTAAAAAAATAGCATTTAGCATTTTGACCAAACCATCAATACAAGAAAATTATGTACCTTTTATTTTCTTGCCTGCCATGAGAATATTTCTCAATTTCCTCTTAAACCAAAATCCAAATTTACAATAACCTCAAGAATAGGAAAAAGAAGGATTCAAACATTTTGATTCTTAATTATATTGAAAATTGAGGATGTGGATCAGTAAAGAATAGTGAGATGATGATGGATCAAAGTAAAAAAAAAAAGGAAGAAATTCAAGGGAAAACTCAAGTAAAAAAAGAGTCAAATCAACGACGAGAGAGAATGCAGAGAGAAAGAGAATGGAATTGAAGAACAAGAAATGGTGAAAAAAATTGATAGATCATTATGCAGAAAGAGAGTAAAAGGTTGAGGTTTTGAGTATTTAGAGAGAAAAATATGAAAAGAAAATGGGAGAGAGAAAGAGAACATTTAGGTTATGAAAGAGAGAAAAAGGAGTTGCAAAAGGTGTGTGAGAGAGAGAGAGCGCATGAGGGTCGGTTCTGAGGTGGAGGAGAGAGTAATATTTTTAAAGAATTTTCATTTAAAAAAAAAAAGCACGTGTTAAATACATGGCATTCTGATCAATGAAAAAATTCGATTGGTTAAAAATATTACTGTTACAATATAAGGTTAGATATTTTTAATTTAAAAATTGAAGTTCGTACCCATTAAAAAAATTACTCACATAGTTCATGCCCTTCCAGTAAAGTTAACCCTCATTCCGTCAAAATCTCATACTTTTCACCTTAAATTTCTATGAAAAGAGAGAAAATGCCTTTTATTTAGGCGTCTCCTTCATTCTCGGCTCCATTGGTTCATTCTCTCTTCATTTCATTTCCATTTGGGTATTTTATGATTTTAGAAATCAAAAGAATCTAGATGATAATGTTAGATTATTTTAATCTAAGTAGCTCATGTAATTAAAGGACTGGTTCTAATTAAGGTGGCCCAAGATTATGGTTATTGCGCTTAATGGGATGAGGACCAGTCAGCGTGTTAATACCCTTTCTCTGCCTTATAAAAGATCAAGGAAATCAACAGCGTAGGTTAAGAGAGTGTGACGCCTACCTCAAACACATAGTGGTGATAGGTTGTTTGAGAGACCGTAAAAGGAAAACTCACGTTGTTGTTGATAATTCTCTGAGCATTAAGAGAGAACTTACGGACAAAAGGCCAGAGTGAAGAAACATAGATCTATAGTTACGGTGAGAATCGAATTGTCGCAACGAGGTAATCAATAGCTATGGATCAAGGTACGCTTCCGTTTATTATGTATTCTTATTAAACAAATTCTATGAACATTCTAATGTAAAGAGGAAATGCCCTTTTATTTAGGCGTCTCTTACTATCTTACTTTATGTTATTTTTTTGCTCTCATTGTTTCTTATTTCTCTTTGTACATTTTTCTTATTTCATTTCCATTTGGGTGATTTTGTATTTTTTAAGAATCAAAGATTTATTGCGATGATGAATTAATTGTTAGATTTATTCCTTAAATCTAAGTAGAGCTTCATGTAGATTTATATAGGACTGTCTAATTAAAGGTGCTCCCATAGATTATAGGTATTGGCGCTTATGGGATGTAGGACATCAGTTCGCGTGTTAATACCCTTTTCCTTGCTTATAAATGTTATTCAAGGAATCAAGTCAGGCGGTAGGTTAAGAAAGTGTGATCGCCTACTCAAACTACATGATGTGGTGATTAGGTTGTTTGATGAGACCTGTAAAGGAAAACTTCACATTTGTTGTTGATATTATTCTCGATCATTAAGAGTAGATTTATCTGGTACTAAATAGGCAGTAGTGAGACATAGTAATCTATAGTTACGGTTGAGAGATCTGAAGGTGAGAATCGAATTGTCGCAACGAGGTAATCAATAGCTATGGATCAAGGTACGCTTCCGTTTATTATGTATTCTTATTAAACAAATTCTATGAACAAAAGATCTAGGCTATATTAATGTTTCCTTAACATGTGGTATTAGAGCCTGTTCCTGTTCTAGATTTGTTTGATAGTCTTTTATTTGGCTTAATTAATGGAAATTAATTTCGTATTGTGAAGTTGATTACGAAGCCAAAATTATAGAAATTGAAAACTGGTTGTTTTCTTTATACTTTATAAATTATTCTGCTGTGTTATTTATAAAGAAAAGTTATGATATCTTATTGAATAATGTCATTAAAGTTTTGAGATCTTAATTCAATCTCATAAAGTTTTGCATAAATCAATGTTTAATGAATGGAAAACTTGTTAGTCACCAAAGTGACCGTAAGTGGCCTTGTTTGTGATTAGTTACTGATCATTTGATGTGGCGGCTTTCTTAATTGTTTCGATTAGTTTTGTGATGTCGTTTGGATTAAGATTATAAATTGAATCATTTGAGAATTCATTTGATTATTACGTTATTGGTATGGTCGCCCCAAGGTAGTACCATTTACTTATAGATTCAAGGTCCATTACTTATAATCAATGGCATTAAAGAGGCTTATCATTATACTTGGTAAATATGAATGTATATATAAAGATAACATGCATATTGTATGGAGCATTATTAAATAATCAAGAAGTAAAAACATAACTGGATTCCAGAAAGGAACACGGGCGTGCTATGGACTTCAGAGAGCAGCACGGAGCGTGCTGTAATGAGCACAGGCGTGCTGTGAACTTCAGAGAATAGCATGGGCGTGCTGTGGACTCCAGATGGTAGCACGGGCATGCTGAAATGAAGCATGGGCGTGGCCTGAGTTCCAGAGAGAAGCATGGGCGTGCTGTAGTGAAGCACGGGCATGTCACTGGTCTTGACTTGCAGAAAGATTCGCAAGTTGCTCCGCATAAATGAAAGTCTATTGAAGTATTTTCTTCTTGGCATCATTATTGATTAAAGCTATGTATTTAAGTATTACCCAAAGGAAAATTTAAATGCATAATTTAAGATTGTTATTTGTTTAAATCCATTTATGTTTTCTCAAAGTATTAACGTATGAGTATATGTATAATGTTACAGTTTCTTCC